ATTGTTGTAGGCTAACCCGATCTCATGAAAGTGCGTAGTATAGCACGATTTTCTGCTTCTATTTGGCGTAATATGGGACACACAGGCTGGCCTATGATAACTGCTGAAATGTTTGTGGGGCAAATCTGAGGTCAGTCTGAGCGCTCATGACTCACAGTGCGTACAGCCCTACACCTGCAGGCGCCACTGACTCGGACGGTTGTCGTGGTAATAAACACCGTAAACAGCAAACGTTCGCGTGTCCGCACTTAATGCGCATATCCTATATGAAAAGCATTTTATGGGGCCCTTGGCTTTTGGGGGCCCAAGGCGGTCGCCTACCTTTGCCTAATGGGTAAGTCCGTCCCTGTCAGTAAGTGCTGCATTATTCAGATACTTTATTTATTACCTGGATATGACTTGAAAAACACATAAACCATAAATTGACATAATCGTGCATGTATTGTCTTCATGTTTTTTATTCAGCTTAGCTACATCAGTTGCTGGATGCCTTTGTCCATATTAGGGATTTCCTGCACGTCATAAGTTATTACTTCTATGAGATTTGGACTTTCTGCACGAGAGCACCCTCCGGCTTTGAGTATGAATATTGATGTTATTATTCATATAATGATTTTTGGGCCATACAAATTACGGCAGTTTCCTGTAATAAAATAACAACGCGGGAGATGGATGTGAAATGGGGGAGACTCCCGGGAAAAACAGGAGTGTTGACAGGTATGCTTGGGTCTGTGGTGGAGCGTGTGATGTCTATATGCCCATAACACCACTGAGCCCCACAAACTCCTCCAAAAGGCATTTACTCTTTCTGTGATTGACAACAAGGAAGGGTTTTCACTGCTCAGAGACCATCATAGAATATTAGACAGACTGTGTTTTAAACTACACACACAATGGAATAAATAGTTAACTGAAAAATAATAATAATAATAATATAATAATTCATTACATTTATATAGCGCTTTTCTAGGCACTCAAAGTGCTTTACATGGTCAGGGGGTATCTCCTCATCCACCACCAGTGTGCAGCATCCACCTGGATGACAGGAGTCACTATTCTCTCTGCCATCTCTGATGTAATCGGTCAGGTTAACTTTGATAGTTTAACACGATCAGTGTTAATTTCGGTGACCGTTTTCATCATGGACAATTTTTTTTCACCAATGAATAAAAATGTTTTAAAAACCAGTGTTTTAAAAAATAAAACAAAAAACAGTTCTAAATGACAAAAACTACGACAAAAAGCTATTGACCTTTTTATCAACAAATAAAAATGAGACAAAAATGTTAGAGAGGGACGGTTGGTGAAGAGATCCAATCGGAATAGGTTGTTTGCAATCACGTGATTCTGATGACGCGCGAAATGCAGCTGGAGGGCAGGAAGTGATTTTTCTCCATAGAAATCACTACCAGAAACTCAAAATGCCAGTGTTTTGCATTGTTTATGGATGTTCAAATCGGAAAAATCGAGAAACCACAAGGAGCTTTTATCGTGTACAAAAATTTGCTGCTCATAAGGGGGGGAAATTCAAGAATTTGACTGGAAAAACGCTGGAAAAGTGGCTTGTAAACCTGCATCTGCGGTCGGGAGGAGCGAAACCGGATAATGCTCGTGTGTGCAAATGGTTAATATAAGATAATAATATATTAAAATATGAATAAAGAAATATATAAATAGATACAGGGTGACACTGTCAGAATTCACTGAATGCTAAACGCCACACATAGACACGATGTAAATAAGATATTATTTGCAGTTCTGAGAGCTTCATATCACGGAATCGTGAGATTGCGATAAATTGAAGTGAGTGACAGCTTTTTAGTGATTAACGTTAGATGAAAGCGCTATTTGCTCGCTTTCTAGGCAGGCTATAATCGATTAAGAATTTAAATAAAAGTTGTTTTACGTGCTGCTAACAGGACCAACAGCCACATACCCTGTA